GGTCTATATGGATTTACAGAATTTTTTCTTTTTTTCATTACAAATTTACTTTCTGAAATTTTTTATCCATATAGTTGTGACAGAGACTTTTTGTCAAAATGTTAAAGAAAGAAAGAAAGAAAGAAAGAAAGAAAGAAAGAAAGAAAGAAAAATTTGTCTTTAAAAAATAATTCTTCACCAATTTTAGTGGGTACTTGTGACTACTGCTAACTATCCACACATAGTTCCATTGAAGGTAATCTTGAAATTCTACCCTGATTTGATATTATCACAAAGAAAACACTTTTGCAAATAGAGTTGTTTTTTTTTTTAAAGATAAACAATGTCAGAATGTTTTAGATAGGCTGGCTAGATACCATGCTATTTAGATTATGACATTTAAAATATACTTGGGCTCTGTGGAGTGAAATGGGTAATATGAGTATGTTATGGAAAACCTAGGGACAATTTTTCAAATCTTCCCAGTAATGGAGGAAGAATTCACTTTACGTTAACAATCACTGGTGTCAGCCCACATGCTATCCTTTAACATTAATGGCCGCATCCATTATCTACTGCTGAGAAACAAATCATCACCAAACGATTTTCATTTAGATCATGATTCCGTGGGGAGGCTGGGCCCAACTGGGTAGTTCATCTGGGTTCAGCTGAACTGTTTCAGGCTCTGAGTTTCCTGGTCTTTGCCACTGAATCCTCTCATATTTCTGCTTCAGTTGGGGCAACTGGGCTCACCAGGCTCTGATCCACATGGCTCATCCTCAGGCAGGACAATTCTGGCTTGTTTACTGTGGTGCAGGCACAGTCCCAAGGGAAAGAATGGGAGCGCAAGATCTTTGGAGTCCAAGGTTCAGTATTGTCACATTGTGACTTTCTGCAGCAGTCTGCTAGCCAAAGCAAGGCCCAAGGCCATTCTAACGATTCTATCTCTTGATGGGAGATGCTAAAAATAGAGATATAAGAAAGACTGTGGCCTATGTCCCATCTACTACAGTGCCTCTGAGTTATTTAAAATGGCTCCTGTCAAAAAGCTTGAGGCTAGCCTAAATCTAGACTTATCACATAGTTAGTATGATCTCTCATTTCCAGAGCCTCTTAGCTTTCTCCATTTATATGCATGTATCCTGTGCTGCATCCCGATACCTGGACAGCAAAACCTGTCCGTATGTGCCATCTTCATTTGTCCTACAAGTGCCAAGTTTTGCACGTGGTATCTTCCAAATACATAACATAAATATTGACTACTATTTTCTATTACTTTATCAATATGACTTCATCATAGGAGATATCAGTATTGTAGATGTTTTCATTTTCTCAAATGTTAAAGGATTTTAGTATAAATGACATCCCAAAAGTTCATGATTAGAGTAAAATATCCTAAAGATCCAATTCATTGTTCTCAAAATTAATTCTATAACAAACTATGGTGCCTTACAAATATCTTATTTCATTAAATTATCATAAGCAGTGGATATATGGTCATAATTTAAACTCAGCGTGCTGACTCAAGATCATTCAGGCAACGTTTGCACAATGGTTGACAAATCAAATGCTCCATACATTTTTAGATTTGCTTGTTTGTTTTTATTTTTTAGGGTCATTTTTTTTTTTAACGTTTATTTATTTTGGGGACAGAGAGAGACAGAGCATGAACGGGGGAGGGGCAGAGAGAGAGGGAGACACAGAATCGGAAACAGGCTCCAGGCTCTGAGCCATCAGCCCAGAGCCCGACGCGGGGCTCGAGCTCACGGACCGTGAGATCGTGACCTGGCTGAAGTCGGACGCTTAACCGACTGCGCCACCCAGGCGCCCCTGCTTGTTTGTTTTTAAAGCTGATGAGCTCAACAGACTTCCTCATAAATTCAACATAAAATGAATTTACCTACTTTATAGCTAGGTTCATAAGAAATATGGCAAATTTTGTTAGAAAGCTCCCCTTGTTTTCCTGTAATCCAGTACTTATCATTACTCACGATATAGTTTCCATTAGCAGTCACTTTCTCCTGAAAGTTTTTGCTTTTTAAACTTGTTCCCTCACCTCTAAAATGATCCCTTTGCAATTGAGTAACTTCTATAAAGACATGAAATATCAGTTGCATCACATCATATGCATGGGGCATGTGGCAATCAGTACAATATCCCAACCAGAAAAAAAAATGTGTGAAGCACAGATCTTCAGCCACAGAATGTATATATATATTCATACATGTTAATTTAAACAATATGAAAGTTGCTATTTTGTAGCACATAAATGAAGGGATCTTGTCAATTTCATAAGGCCCAACTTAAAATATACATAATCTGGGGCGCCTGGGTGGCGCAGTCGGTTAAGCGTCCGACTTCAGCCAGGTCACGATCTCGTGGTCCGGGAGTTCGAGCCCCGCGTCAGGCTCTGGGCTGATGGCTCAGAGCCTGGAGCCTGTTTCCGATTCTGTGTCTCCCTCTCTCTCTGCCCCTCCCCCGTTCATGCTCTGTCTCTCTCTGTCCCAAAAATAAATAAATGTTGAAAAAAAATTTTTAAATATACATAATCTAATATATGCACACACATATGCACATAAATACTCATATCACTTAGTAGTGGGAAGGAGTAAGAGGAAGGTTGACCAATTTATAAATGTAATGATATCCAGATACTGGCCCCAAAAGTAGAAATAAAAGTCACTGCTCTTCAAGGTTCCCTGTAACAAATGTACACAATTAACATAATCCAACAGATTATTTTGCCATTCATTTGTAGACAGGCAAGTAACCAGTGAACATTTTCTTTCTTTTTATAATGGGACCATTTGTTCAAACGGGATTTGTACTGTGATCTAAGCTATGAAATGGATAAAAGTGGATGTATTTCAACAGAAACTAAAAAAGTGAGTCCAAACCATCCAGGTGATACATGACTTTTCTCTACATTTTGAGTAGAATTACAATAGCAGGAAAGTATGTAATTACATTCAGTAAGACATACTAGGATTTCTTAGTTCGAACAACTATTACCATCATCACATACCATTCCCTTAACATCAAAAATAAAATATGCATACAGTTTAACTATTTCTTCTTAACTTTTATATTACACAGTTCAAGTCTGGTCAAAGTGAGATTGAGAAATGGCTACTGTTGGGGTGCCTGGCTGGCTTAGTCTGTAGAGCATGTGACTCTTGATCTCTGGCTTGAGCTCAAGCCCCACATTGGGAGTGGAGCCTACAACAAAAGAAAGAAAGAAAAAGAAAGAAAGAAAGAAGAAGAAAGAAGGAAGGAAAGAAGGAAGGAAGGAAGGAAGGAAGGAAGGAAGGAAGGAAGGAAGGAAAGAAGAGAAAAGAAAGGAAGGAAGAAGGAAAGAAAGAAACAAAGAAAGGGCAGGCTACTGTTGAGCAACAATAAAATGGTGGGGTATCATTGGTGGCATGTGGTAAATCCTAGAGAAGCAGATGAGACAGATTTTATTTAATCTTAGCTCATTTCCTAATTACTTTTTAAATTTTTTAAAATGTTTTTATTTATTTTTGAAGGAGAGAGACAGAGCATGAGCGGGGGAGGAGCAGAGAGAGAGGGAGACACAGAATCCAAAGCAGGCTCTAGGCTCTAAGCTGTCAGCACAGAGACTGATGCAGGGCTCAAACTCACAAACTATGAGATCATGACCTGAGCCAAAGTCAGACGCTTAACGGGCGGAACCATCCAGGAGCCCCTCATTTCTTAATTATTTAAAGCATACTGTGTTTGCCTGCTCATTGGTGCCATAGGCATCTTAAAGAACAACATCTGTTTGCTTGTTTTTTTTCCTATTTCTGATAACCTCTCCTCTCAGTTGACTTGAAACAATGTTTCACAGATAGAAGAAACATTCTAAACATCATGATGATCAGACAGTCACAAGGAGGCCCATGAAGTAACAGGGTAGACAAACTCCTGATTTGTAAAGATAACCTAAGAGTTATTGGCACAAAATACTGACCACATTTAATAAAACAAAACAAAAGAGGGATGGAGAAATTTGACACAAGCATTTATTCTTACGTCTATTTATCAAAGTTGGTCTCATTTATGATGGTAATATTTAAATTGTGCCAAATTTCTTCACTGATGCTTTTGTGGTGACTAATGAAGGGATTTTCAAAACTAATCCAAGCCAAACCAAATCAAACATCAGAGAAATATATATTCAAGGGTGTGATTATTAGAGTTGCAGAAACAATGAAAACAAGTCATTCCCCTGTGTTAACCTGCAAATTTCTTTTACAAAGCCATTCCCACTTTAATCAATAGGAAACAATGAAAAAAAAAAAGTGGGCTTGGACTGAGTCAGAATTTGTCTTGGAACATATCAAACAGGGATGCTATTTGGTGTTGAATAACCAAACTCAGATGCCTTGAAGAGTGCACAAAATCATTTTGTTTGAGGGATGGTCGGATTGCTGCAGCCAGGTTTTTTATCTTTTTTAAACTGAACTCTAGCCCAGTTCTTCCTCTGTGGAAGAACTACAGTTTCAATGAGGTATTCTCTGCCTCCATGTTGTTATAAAAAACCTGCATATAGTCAGCTATGCTCTTAAAATACTTTCATATGGTTGTCTCATGCACTCATCAAAGAATTCTGTCAACCAGACAGCATAATCCAACTTTACAGATGAAAAAAACAACGCTCAGTGAGTTTAATTAACCGGTTCAAATTATCACAACTAGGAAGGAGTGGAACTAGAAATCAAATCTTGGTCCATTCCATGCTCTCATGCAACCATGCTGCCTTTCAATAAAAATGTAAAATGAGGCAATAAACCCCTAAAGGTTAATGTTGCAGTTCAGATTGTTTTTAAAAAATGTTTGATAATATACATGAATATGATGTCTACATATAACTTTCCACCTTTAAGTCCTTAAAGATGTGTATTACGCTGTGTGACCTCTTATACTCTCCAGCACAATATGCATTAATGTTGAAAGGAAATGCAAGGGTTTAGACATATTGCTTTCAAGTGACTTATTGATAGTTTAGTTTGTATTACCTTAGACAATTTTGCCTTGGATTCAGAATTATCTTTGGGAACAGAGTCTTTAATAAGCCGAGATCGGTCATAATTAGCATGTTCTGATTCATCCATGTAATCCTTATCTTTTCCTAGGGCTAGAAAAGAGAAAGAGAAAATTACATCCATTTTTATACTTCTTCCTTTTCTTTCTCTTTAAATGTACTAATCTCTCTTTTATTCATGTTTTCCAAGGGTTAGCCAAGTATAACTCTCTTATGACCATTTGGCCAAAATGCAAGCTAAAAAAAAAAAAAAAAAAAAAAAAAAAAAAAAAAGGAGGAAAGAAAAGAAATAACATGACAGCTTCTCTGTTAGTGGATTAACACTGATGCTACAGTAACTTTCATAAGAATTAAATGCATCTCTACTGTTCAATGTACTTAAGCTTTGAAAATAACATTAGAATCATGCAAGCTAATCACCTCTTTCGAACTTGAAGACAAAGATATTTCTAAGAATTCAATAGCTTCCCAAACATTTATTTGCTTAATTAAAAACTGTATGAATTTTGAAATTCAATAGATTCCCAAACATTTGTTTGCTTAATTAAAAACTGCATGAATTTTGAGAATTTGTTTTCTTAAAAGTTGGAAAGTTTTCTAAATGTGAATTTGACTGAAGAGTGACAGAAGCTCTGAAAAATTATGGAAGAAAGTCTAACAAACGTTACAAGAAAATCTTTTTAAAAATATTAGGAGATTGAAATGAAACTACAACTACAAAAAAAGGAGAGGACATTAAAAAATAATTCCTATTAGAATTACAAAAAGAGTAAGACCCCGTAATATCAACCACGTGTAAGAGCATATATGAACAATGAAGAAGCTATAGTCAAGGTAAAAAAGTACAAAACAAGAAGAAGCCTCTATGGTGACTGCAAGTACAACCAAGAACTGTGACATGCCTCACAAAATCTGCATTCCATAGGACACAAGCCTCTCTTCAAATTCAAAAACAGAATCGTACATATTTAGCTTTTTCAAATAAATCAAAATATTTTGGAGAGAGTTATTCAATTCCATCTGTTGACACCCACGAAACATAAACTTTGACATAGACAGCCATGTATAATGCTTTAAAGAGTTCAATCATTTGACTTAGTATTGTAACAGAGTAAAAAATTATTTATTATACATGCATTAATTTATTTTATTAGTAATGCATAAAATCTGTGCATATGTTATACTATGCACAGCCAGAGTATCGGAATCTTAGCAATGGTATGAATTAAGATTGGACAGGTAATATTATGTCTTAGTATGTCATTAATTGCCACTTATGTTAAAATGTTCTAAGCACTTACAGTTATACCTAGATCTATTAAAAAGAGCTAACTGGTGGTTAACATTTGTTGAGTACATATGAAGAGCCAGAAACTTTACAGGTATTATTTCCTCTAATCCTTATAACAATTGTACAAAGTGGGTATGCTTTTTTTTTTACCTACATTTAATAGTAAATTAAGGCAGATGGAGATTAAATATTGTGTCAAAGTCACTAATTCAATAAGGAGTGCGTCTAGAACTGAAACATATCCAGATTTGACTCCAAAGCTGATGCTCATGAATATACCATAATGTTTTCCCTAGATTTATGTAGATTACATTTGATTCATTTAACAATTATTTATCAAACACTTATGATATGCCAGACATTGTTCTAAGAGTTGGAAATACAGCAGCAAACAGAATTCTGCCTTCATGGGACATTCAAGTACAAGAAGAAAACGATAAATAACACAAATTAAGAAAACAGTAAGTAGGTTTTCTGGTGAGTGCATTGGAACATATACATTAGAAAGGAAGGATGTAGGTGTCAAAGGTGTGGAGGGAGAGGGATGCTAGTTTAGACAGAGAGACTAGGTAGGAGTTACTGCAATAATCAGGTAGAAAGGATATGGTTTGGGCCAGGGTGGTATCAAGATGGAGAAATGGTCAAACTGAAGATGTATTTTTTAAGGAAAAGTTAACAGAGTTCTATTGGATGTGACATATGAAAGAGAAAAGTCAACAATAGTCCCAATGGTTTTGTTCTGAGCACTGGGAAGGGTGCCATATTATTTTCACATATTATTCGATTAAATCCTTTACAGGTATTATTTCTAGACTTTGTTACTGATGAGGAAATGTAGCAGTTACCTAGAATCTTACATTTGGTGTGTGGCAATAGAGTTCCAGAAATCGGGCTCTAACCTTACGTTTATAGCCACTATGTAATATCGCTTCTTGTAGTATTTGGAGAGATGATGATTTAGGAAACTTTGAAGCAATAAAATATTCACAATTTAAAAAAATGGGGTCACATAAAAATTGTAATATATTTACTGAATGAAAAAAGGTAGAGTCTCTAATTATAAACATAATTTTCTATCCTCCTAAAGTTGACAAGGATGGAGATAAATATTAGTATCCCAATAGATAAAGATAAAAATTGTAAGCAGACAAGAAATGAAAGATGAGATAAATTTAGTAAAAACTTATTTATTTTTATATGGTTTAATACTTTCAATGACCAAGAACTTAAAATAAAAAAGTTACTATTTTATGCCAGTACAGAAATATTCTTTTGCATCTTTCATTTTTTAAATGTTTTATTATTTATTTTTGAGAGAGAGAGAGAGAGAAACAGAATGTGAGCAGGGAGGGACAAAGAGAGAGGGAGACACAGATCCAAAGCAGGCTCCAGGCTCTGAGCTGTTAGCACAGAGCCTGATGCGGGACTCAATATCACAAGCTGTGAGATCATGACCTGAGCCTAAGTAGGATGCTTAACCAACTGAGCCACTCAGGCACCCCATTGCATCTTTCATTTTTAATAAAAATATCCAGGGGTGTCTTGGTGGCTCAGCTGACTAAGCCATCTGACTTCCGCTCAGGTCATGATCCAAGGTTCGTGGGTTCGAGCCCCACGTTGGCCTCTGTGCTTACAGCTCAGAGCCTGGATCCTGCTTCAGATTCTGTGTTTCCTCTCTCTGTGTCCCTTCTCTGCTCCCACTCTGTCTCTCTCTCTCTCTCTCTCTCAAAAATAAATAAACACAAAAAAATTAAAAAAATATATATCCAGATGCTAGGGAAACTGATAATAGTCATTTGTTTTCTGAACCAATATAAATTGGTAAAACTTTTGGAACAAAGTATGTCAATATGTTTTAAGAGCACAACTGGAGAGGAATCTTAAAATCATCTAAAAGAAAAAAAAATCTATGTTCACAAGAATGTTCTCCCAAGTATATGCATAATAAAATACAGGAACAATTACAATTTTAATAAATAGCAACTCCATTTTTCCAATTACACAGGCCAAAATCATGACTCCTCATTTTCTCTTATACCTAATGTCCTATCCTTGAGTAAATTTTGTTGACTGAGCATGAAGTATCATTTATTTTTCTGCTTTGTTTTACTCCTTAGCATCTATCAGTATTGAACATGCAATATGTTTTTATTTATCTTCATTTACTATGTATTTCCCTCACTAGGGCATTTGAGGGCCAGTTTTTTGCTTTGTTCATTTTTCTTGTCTTTTTCGTTCACTGTTTTGTCCTTAACATCTAGAACAAGGTCTGACCTGCCATTGCCATTCAGTAAAATTTGCTGAATGACTACGGGATTTAAATGTCCATCATTCTTGTCTGAACTACCTTCAAATTATATCTAGAAGTTGATAATTTACCACCATTGTACGTTCTTAACCCAAACCACCACTCTTTCTTGGCAGAAGTCTGTGAGAATCTCCTAACCAGTCTTCCTATTTCTATATTTTGCTACTATCACATGATAGCCAGAGGGGCCCTTTCAAAGCTTAAGTTAAATTACATTAAACTTCTACTCAAAACCTTCCAATAGTTTCTTAGCTCCAAGTAAAAGTCATATCTACATCATGGCACCCTGGGTAAGCACCATCCTTGATGTTAAGTATGCTCTCACCACAGAGCCTTTGCACTTGCTCTTTTCTCTGCTGGGAATGCTCAATCCCTATTGCAGCCAAGCATCTGCTCATGTCACAGCCTCAGAGAATCTCTCCGTGACCACTGTTTCTAAAATAAAACCTCCCATACTTCTTTGTCTCCTCATAAGGCTTTATTACTTTTATCAGCACTTGACGTAGAATAACACACACACACACACACACACACACACACACACACACAAAATAATGCATGGTATATATGTACATATATATCAGCACTTGATATTAAGTTATAGCATAGATATATAAGATATATGAATGCTATATATACATGTATATATACACAAATAAGCATTTTTACATGCATATATGTGTTTGTATCCATATAAGAAACAGGAAGAGGATATAGATATAGATATAGATATATAGATATAGATATATACACACACACATACACACATACATACATACATATAATACTTACAACTCATTAATAAGAAGGCAAATAACCCAATTTATAAATAGGCAAAGGATCTGAATAGACATTTTTCCAAAAAAAGATATACAAGTGGCCAATAATCACATGAAAAGATGCTCAACATCATTATTACCAGGGACATGTAAATCAAACCCACAATGAGACCACTTCACACTCACTGGGATGGCTATAATAAAAAAGATGGGGGCATCTGGGTGGCTCAGTCAGCTGAGCGACCAACCCTTGATTTCAGCTCAGGTCATGATCTCATAGTTCATGAGTTCGAGCCCTGTATTGGGCTCTGTGCTGACAGTGCAGGTCCTGCTTAGGATTCTTCTTCTCTCTTCCCTTCTCTTGCTTGTGCTCTGTCTCTCAAAAGAAATAAAAACATTAAAAAAAATGGACAATAACAACCATTGGTGAGCATATAGGGACATCAAGCCCTCATACACTGTTGATGGGAATGAAAAATAGTGCAGTTGCTGTAGAAACCAATCTGGCAGTTCTTCAAAAGTTTTAACATAGTTACTATATGATTCCCTATACTACTCCTAGGTACAGTCTCAACATAAATGAAAATATAAATTCTCAAAAAAAATTGCAGCATTATTCGTAATAGCCCCCAAAGCAAAAGCAATCCAAATATTCATCAACTGATGGATGAATGAATGAAACATACAATGGTATATTATTCAGCAATAAAAAGGA